CGGCCGCCCCGGCCACCACGTCGGAGAGCGGCGCGCACGGGCCGACCCTGCCCCGAGCCTCTTCCCCGACCCTAGAACTTTCTAGAACGCCGTTTGCTTTCTGCGTTTCTGCAGATTTGCCTTTGCTGATTCTGCGAGTCGTCGGAATCCCCGACGCCGCCGCTTGACATTCTAGTGTTTTCTCTGCAGCGGATTTGCCTTGTCCAGGATGTCAGTACTCTGGGTTCTTTGATTGCAGCTTCTGTGGACACTGATTGGGGCTCCTGTTGTTGTTATGTGCCGTCGAGTCGCCTGCGACTCATAGCGACCCTGTGCACAACAGCCCTACACTCCTCTCTGTCCTGTGTCAATCGCACTGTCTCTGACACTCCCATCCCGATTATCCCAGTCACTGAATCGATCCACCTCATAGAGGGCCTTCCCCTCCTGCGCTGTCCCTCCACCCTCCCAAGCATGATGTTCTTCTCCAAGGAACATGTCCAACGGATTGGGGCTCCTAGTAAAATGAAATCCGTGACGGTTTCCATCCCCCCGCCCCCCCCATCTCAATACTGCTTATTGACCCAGTTGTGCAGATTATGTTGAGATGTAACCATATACTGGTGGCTTTAACCTTTGAGTTTCATCAATAAGTGCAGTCAACTCCTTTTTAGCAAGCAAGGTTCTGCTTGCTTTGCAGAGCCCGCTCGGGATTGTCCACCAATAATAGCTGTTTACTCCACTGTCAGACCATAGATACTCTGCCTTAGTGATTCCTTCTTACCCAGAATATCCAACCCCTAATCCCATAGTCACAGTCATTGTTGTTGGGTACCATAGAGTCAGAACGATGGTCAAAGTCGTTGGGTACCATCAAGTCAGACGATGGCCAAACCAACCCATATCTGGCCCTCCAGCAGGTTTTCAGAAGCAGTCAATCTTTCGGGAGGAGATTGCCCATCTTTCTCCCAAAGAACAGTTGGTGAGTTTGAACGACGTGCCTTTGGATTTGCAGCATGAATTCTTATCCCTAAGCCACCAGAGCTTCCCAAAGTCCTTGGAACATACTTTTTTCTCAAGGCACGTGGTAAATGCAGCCTCCTCCAGGAAGCCTTTTTTGATTTTTCCTTCCACATATTTTTGTCTTTAACAATCCTCCCCACCACCACTACCACTCTTTAGCCTATGTTTGAAACCTGTTAGTTCTTGAGTGGAGCTTAACTTTTAGTCTAAAAGCTGGCAGTTTTGACCTACCAGAGTGATAGACTTCAGAAGGTCAGTCCAAAAAAACCACTAGAGCTTTGTTATTCCGAAACATTTGAGGTCACTTTGAGTCAGAATGATGAGCCCATGTGCTGCATAGTCAAAATGAGCAGAAATAACTTCCTTTGAGTTGTCTTGGTTCTAAGCAGGTTGCCAGGCCTTTTTACTTGGTTCCACTGGGTGGGCTTGAACCCTTTTGATTAGTAAAGGAGTAGGCCAGGCAGTGACTTGTTAGTGCCATCAAGTGCCTCCAGCTCATGGTGACCCTATATAAACCAGATCAGAGTCCTATAGGGAGTTGTGGTTGTTAGGTGTTGTCAGCTTGGCTGTGACTCATAGCAACCCTCTGAACAACAGCCCCGAGCCTCACCTTGGCCTGTACGTACCATCCTCACGATCTCCGGTGTGCTCAAGCCATTGTAACAGTCACTGTATCACTCTGTCTTATTGAGGGCCTTCCTCGCCTCTCTGCAGGGACTTAACTTCTATTAAAGCACTTCACATTGCCTGAAGCACTTAGGTTAGACCCAGGGTGCTGAGGTGGGTTGTTTTCTGCCCTCAGCAGTGCTTAATTGACGTCTTTATTCATTACAGAATCCTGTGAATGTTTTTGAATAATGGACTTACTTCATACTACCTTAGCATTATCTTATATGTGCACTTTGCTCACATAATAGCTAATATTTATCTACACTTGAGCTCTGGTGATGCCTTCTGTAGGGATTTGTGCTGCTAACGCAGAGGTCCTGCCTCCCTGGCAATTCATGTCCACGAGTGACTCCACGGGAGAAAGATGGGCAGTCTCCTTCCTTCAGATTTACAGCCTCAGAAAACTCATTGGAAGGTCAGCTGTGAGTTGGAACCGGCTGCTTGGCAGTGAGTAAGTGTACAGCTCTCTCACATAATAGCTAATATCTATCTACAGCTTCTCAAGGCTCTATGCGAGCTGTTAAATGCATTGATCTATTTGATCTTCAAAACATTTGTACTTTTGATGCCAGACATTTAGTGTTTGTGGAATTTCATTTCACTTTTGCTTTCCCATATACAGCCTTTCAAAGTTACCTTTAGCATTTGATTGTACATACTAAAAGCAGGAAATGGGCTCGAGAAACCAAGAAGTGAACTGGGAAAAGGTCCAGGGATTTGGGATACTGTTAATTGTCATTAAATAAGCACTGACTTACTAGGGCATCCTGTGCACACAAGAATAAAAACTCCCGGTCCAGCACCATCTGTCTGATCATTTTTCCATGATAGAGTTTTTCCACTATCAGTGTTCTGCTGTGCTCCATGGAATTTTTATTGGCTGATTTTTGGAAGTCTGTCCACATTCTTCTTCTGTTCTTAGGGTTTTCAGAGGTCTGCTGTTTAAGAACTGATGGCCAGTCCTGCTTCCTAGTCTGTCTCAACCTGCCAGGGATAACTCTTGTGGCATTTGATGTATGCATAAGTTTCAGCATTATAGAAACCCCAAATTATCTCAATACAGCAAACTGACAAATGAGTGATGTAGCAATTAGAACAATGTTTTCCTCAAACACAACAAAGTAACCATTTCGTTTGTATCTTAATAGCAAGTTAGTCTCCACATCAGGCCCTGAGTGCTCCAGCAGTCAGGAAATTAGGAGATGAAGTGCACTGGGAAAATCTGCAGATAGGGACCTCTCCAAATTTTTGAGGAGTAATAATGTCAGTTTGAGGACTATTGTGTGTTTGACTGAGACCATGGTCTTTCTGATCACTTGCTGTGCATTTGAGAGCTGGACAGTGAATAAGGATGACAGTGAATAAGAATTGATGCCTTTGAGCTGTGATGTTGTAGAGGAGGACTGAACATCCCATGGACTGTCAAAAGAACAAATAAATGTCTTGGAGAGAGTGCAGCCAGAGTGCTTTTTGGAGGCAAAGATGATAAAGCCTTGCCTCACATACTTCAGGCATGTTGCCAGGAGGGGCTGTTCCTTGGAGAGGGACATTATACTTGGAAAAGCAGAGGGTCAGCAAAGGAGAGAAAGACCCTCAGCCAGGTGGATTGACAACAGTGACTGCCTCAGTGGGTTCCAGTGTGTCAGGAAGTATGAGGATGGTGCAGAATAGGACAGAGCTGAGAAGATCTGATGCTCATGGGGTCACTATGGGTCATACTCCGTGGCACTTAACAACAACAGTGATTTTTGGAAGTGGATGGCCAGACCTTTCTTGCTGAGCCTGTCAAAACCCGGAAGCCCTGCTGAAACCTTTCCACTACAGGTGACCCGGTTGGTGTGTGAAATATCTGTGGCAAGTCACCCAGCTTCATAGCAATGTGTACGTCATCACAGTACAGCCTGTCAAGATTCACAGCCTTGGCACCCCCGAGGGTGATGGGAATTATAAACTAGGACCCTGGCTTGCACTTCGCCTCTGCCACTTGCCTTTCTGGTTGTCAGTTTCTTTGTCTTTTAGGAAGAAGATCACTTGCGGCCTTAGTTACTGTGTGAGTGAGGTGAGTTGGAGGTGGAAAGACTGCTTCAATCTCTAACGTACCGTCTGTACGATTTCTAGTGGTTTTATGAAGAAACAGAGAGCAGTGACGATGCTGAAGGTCTGACGCTGAAGAAATTCAGAGGGGACCTGGCCTACAGGCGGCAGGAGTACCAGGTAGAGGGAGAGGGAGTTGGTCCTCTGAGTGATTGCACTTCTGCGCTGCATGACTGGGATTTGAAGCAGCTCTTGTTTTATCTGTTACCACCGATTTAAATGATGGTTATGAGTTGGTGGTAGTTAAGGCGAATGTATTATTTTGTGATGTGTGTTTGTAATTTTAGCATCTCAAGTTTCTCCTCTTTTCTGTTAGCTCTCTGTAATTCATGTGTTTCCTGTAACCTCACTAGAGGGGTCTTTCAGGGTTCTTGTAGGCCTGTACCTCCTTGTTACTGTGGATTCCTGGAGCATGGCCCCCACACGATGACACAGCACCAGAGTACCCTACGATGTAAGGAGAGGGGAGATTCTGATAATTGGATCCCAGATAGTTTTACACCTTTTGTCTCGTTCCGTCTTCTCCAGAGTGCTGTGTTTTGCCAGTGAAAAAGCTACACAACATTTAGTGGCAAAACCAGGATTTAAACCATGGCCTGATTAATTTATAAGGATTCTGAATAATCCTTGAAGAATAAATATACTAAGTCATGATGGCTTTTTGTTTCATTGGAGTTTGAGTAGTTTGAAGTTGCTCTAGTGGTGTAGTGCTTGACTGTTGGCTGGTAGCTGGGAAGTTGGCAGTTGAGACCCATCAGCCGTTCCTCAGGAAGGAAGACATGGCAGCTGCTCCCGTGGAGGAAATCTGATGGTGCCAGTCCGTGCCTTCTGTGGTGTCTGTTACCAGGAATCAACTCGTGGGCACTGGATTCGGGTTTTTTTTCTGTTCTGCAGCCTAGGCACCTTTTGTGACGTTTGTTGCATCCGCCTCTGTGACAGCTCTTGTTCTGTTTCCTCTGTGGGTTCCTCATTTCCATTCAGCTTTCTTTCCTGCCCTCTCCTGCTTTTCTGAACTTAGGTTTAGAATTTAGGGGCAAACGTTTTAGGTCTCAGATGGCTGATTGAACTGAGGACTCTGTTCCTTTCCAGTGTTACTATTCATTTTGCAAGCCTTTTTAGCTGAAAGTTGATCCCCTCTCTCACACTCCAGGCTTGTAGACTGTGATCTTTTCCACGGCATTTTTTTCCTCTACCTTTTGGGAAAGTAGTAGTGACTTAGAACTGCGGGAATTGTCTCTGTATTAAGCTCAGGTCTCTATAGAGACCAGTTACCCCAGTACTTGTACCTTGGAGAAAGCCCTGTACTGAATCATTTTCCTGCTGTGTTTTCTCCTCCTTTTCCCCACCCCCTCCCTTTCCCTGGTGAATAATGGCAAGAAAGCTCTGCAGGAGTATTCTATCATCTCTGAGAAGTTGTCACAGACCAACTTTGCCATGAGCAGGGACGTCCAGGAAGGCCAGGCCCGGTGCCTCGCTCGCCTGGGGAGGCATGCGGAAGCTCTGCAGATCGCTGCCAACTTGGTAAGTGTTTCCACGGCTCCTTCCATCTGCTTTCCTGTACCAAGAAGAATTCAACAAAACAGAGGTAAAAACCCTTGCCAGCCACAAAGCCTGTGAGTTTGGATCCTGCCACCATCGTGTTGATTCTGACTCATGTAGCCCTTCCATTGCATTTCCAAGACCGTAAAGCTTTAGGAGAGGACACTGTGCAGCTTTCTTCTGCACAGTGGAAGGATTTGAACTGCTAACCTTTTCATTTACCAACTGAGCATGAAACACTGTGCTACCAGGGCTCCTTGTGAGAACAGATAAGCCGAAGACCCTCACAAGTAGTGTTTGGATTTTGTTAGGATGAACAGTCTAGGGTCTTTAGATGTCAACACTTATTACAGCAGTTTTCCCGCTATATTAAAAATTCTTTATGACTTGAGACTATCATTGACAGCAGTTTTCCTCTTGATAAGAGGAACTGTTGAGGCTGGAAGGGGTTATGAGTGACCTGTTTTCTCCTTTAGATTGACTTACCTTCCAGAATTTCTACAATGAATATATATTTACTTTGGTAAGCAAAAACAAAGGTATGGGGGAGAAAGGACAGAACTCTTAACACTGTTTAATGCTTGATGGTGCTTTTTACTATAAATGGAATTTGTGAGGAAAGGACTTTCCTTACAAACGTGGATTCTGTCTGTGGGCATGCTGTTACACTGTCAGGTCGCATTTCATCATCCAGAAGAAATCCTGCCCTCGGCTTGGTGTGTGTGGGTCACTGCGCAGGACCCCAGGCTCTCACGGTGAGGGGAAGCCAGGCGGTAATTGTCTTGAGAACGTGGAGGACAGCTGTTCCGCTTTGTTCTTTCAGTTCCTCTCTTCTAATTGACGGTGAACCCATAAACTGGTCGATAAGGTGCCTTGTTCATCAGTAGTGAACTTGATGGGATTTGACCGCATTTATCCCCAGGCTCCTGGGTCTGCAAATGAGCATCGTGCCGGCCCTTCCAGTGCCTGGGCTAGACAGCTGTCCCACTTTCCCAGCAGCTCACTCTCCTCAGCATCTGTTCTCTCCTGCTCATCGGACTTTGTCCTCCTTGCCGAGACCTGAGGGTGGTGGGTGGCTGGATTCCTGGAGGGAGATGATCTCCGAGGTCCCTTTTAACTCCTTCGGTCTCTGTTTCTGTGGAATGGTGACCACCGGACGATTCTCAGCACCTGAGTTCTGAGTGGACATACAGGCTGTTCATTGAGCCTCTGAGCATCCCGGTGGGGAGGTCCGCAGGTGGGAAATAGGCTGTATAGAGAGTGGGCCTCACCCCTTTCTTTGGGTTGCAGCTGACCCTGCTGATTGCTTGGCTCTATCCATTCCTGATAACTTGATAACTCAGTTTTTCTCTTTTTAAAAGTTTTTTTCCCTGCTCCCCAAAATAAAAATGTCTTGCCCATTTGTTGTTAGGGGCTTCGAGTCTCTACCACCTCACTGCAGCCCTGTTTCTAGAGACCCAAACCCTGTCTGAACCTGTGCGGTCCTCACAGGCTCCGGTGCTGAGCCCATCAGTGCTGTAGCTGGGCCTTTCTAACTTCCTCCCATTCTGTCACCTCTTTGTTACTGACCCTCCTCTTCTCGAAGCATGACGTCTGTTTCCCAGGACTAGCCCCTCCTGATATGTCCAGTGCAAGAACTTCTCTTGCTTCTAAGGAGCATTATGGCTGCACTTTTTCCAGGATAGATTGTTGTTAGGTGCCGTCGAGTTGAGAATGACGCATAGTGATCCTATGAAGAGCCAGCCTGAAACCTTTCCTGTCCTGGGCCGTCCTCCTCATCCCTGAGACACCAGAGCCCATTCCTGGAGTCACGGTGTCATTCATCTCCTTGGGGGTTTTCCTCGTCTTTGCTGACCCTCCATCTTTCCAAGCATGATGCCCCTTTCCAAGGAATAGCCTTGCCTCGCCACATGTCCAGGGTAGGAAAGACGAAAAGCTTCATTACCCCTGCCTCCAAGGAACACTCCAGCCACACCCTTTCCAGGGCATCTCTCTTTGTTCGTTTGGCAGTCCATGGAATATTCAGTACTCTTCTCCAGCACCACAACTCAAACACATCACTTCTTCTGTGATCCTTTTTCATTTTCCAGTTCTCCAGTGGATGAGTCCCTGGTATATTCCATGTTCTTCGACAACACCACAGTTCAATGGCACCAATTCTTTGGTCTTCCTTGTTCATTGTCCAGCTTTCCATGCATGTGAGGTGATTGAAAGACCCTCCTTAGGACCCTTTTCTTGGATTATTAGCTCTGGCGCACTTGTCTTTATTTCCATGATTCCTGTCTCCTCACAGCCCGTCAGGACAGTTCGGTGTACAACTTTGGATAAAATGTGTTAGAGCGACATCCAGGACAGAAATATTTTAGCCCCACAGCTTCTTTTGAACAAGAGAGATGGGGTTTCCTTGTCCTTCTGGGACTTAATGGTCTGTTAGCAAGACAGATGCTAAGCAGCAGTAATGGCACATGAGAAGTGTTGCCGTTGGAGCCACAGCATGACCAGACGAGGTGCGTGAGGACGTGGTGAAGACCTGACTCAGTCTGTGGAGTCCTCTCAGGCCTCTGCTTCCTGGCCTCCTGGTCTCTCTGGTGCAGTGCATTCGTTTCCTGTTCAGTGTAGTCCTGGGGGGGAGTTGATCCAGGAGATGAGGCTTTCCTGAGATACAGATCCGCTTCAGAGCTCATCTGCTGTCTGCTTTCTGCAAGGAGTTGTGGTGGTGCGGTCCAAATGTGTTGCCCCGGGAACCAAAGGGTCTTGAGTCTCCAGTGGTTTGAATCTGCCAGTGTCTCCACGGGAGGAAGATGAGCCCTGCCCTGAAGATTACAGGCTGAGAAACCCGACAGAAAGCTGCTGAGAGTCAGAATGCATTCGGTGGCAGTGTTCTGCATTTTGACCTGCTCTCAACAGACTTGCACTTCCAATGAAAAGGCCAGTTGTCCTTGACTCAGGATATTTGCCATATGGCAAGTTAGGAAAGAGTTGGTGACTCTGGTTAAGGAGATTTGAAGAGACTTTCTGGTCAGAGGAAGCCAGGCAGCCCCCTCTGGCCAGAAAGAGTTGTCCCTGGTCATGGTTACCAGGGAAGGCATTTGGATTCAATTACAGTACATCGTGTAGTGCTGAGAGCCATGGGGCTTTCTGGTTACGATCTGTAAGCCAAGGGAAATTTGGAAAGAGAGTCTGTTCAAATACTCAAAAGAAATTACCATTTGGATTTTGAAAAATCCTTGAAAATGGAAACATAACCATTAGCCCAGTATCTGAAAGAAATGGCCTGGGTCTATTAGATCTCTATCTGAGGCAATGAAGATAATAGTTAAAGTTGAAGATGAACTGACATTGCTGTTTTACTGTTGAACTTGGTCGGGCCACTGTCCCGTGGCTCCTCCTGCTGACCCAGGGGCATTTGGGTGGCTGGTGACTGTTTTACTAGGTAACGTCGTCTTTCTGGGTTTACGGTTTCAAGTGTGTGACCTGTTAAAACCTACTTGGTTGACTTGTTTATGTATAACAGGAAGGTTTTAGTTGTCTCTTTTTAATATTGAACAAGTTTTGCAGGTTAAAGCTTTTAACTGTTTTTTGGTCCTCAGGAAAATAAAGCAACCAACACGGACCACCTAACCACGGTGTTGTGCCTCCGGCTGTCTGTCTGTTCAAGCCTGCGGAATGTGCAGGAGGTCATGTTCTGCTTGCAGAAGCTGATTTGTCTGCATCCGTTTGATCCTTGGATCTGGGGCCGACTGGCGGAGGTGTACCTGAACCTGGGGCCTGCACTCTCAGCATCGTGTGCGCCCTCTCAGAAACAGAGCCATTTCTCCTCAAGTGACAAAACTATCAGATCATCTGCTCCTTCTTCAAGAAAAGGTGGCCTTTTGTGTTTCCCTGAAACCTTACCTGAGAGCTCTAAGTTTTCTGTGGAAGCAAGTGGCAACCCTAGCCAGCAAAATGAGAGGGTTCTTCAAAATACCGAGAACTGTGTGTCAGAAACAAGCGAGGCCGTGTGGACAGACACACAGATCAAAGCTTGTGCCTCTTTTATAAGGACCAGGTAAGCAAAGAATGGTTTAGACAACCCAGCGTAAGCTTTTTCTAATTGTGCACTTCAAAACGTTCTAGACCAGATGGTTGATGTATTTATTTTCTTTATTGTGATTGTAACATAAGTGTACAGAAAGGTTGGATTGTCATTCATTGTTTCACATTTTCCTGCCTACTCCCTCAATTCACTTAAAAAAAAAGAATTCATTCATTGTTCTATAGTTTTCTACAAGCAATGCCTAATCAAATATTCTTTTTTACACTTGGCGTATTTTGAGGTTTTCTGTGATCTAAGTAGAAACCTCCAAACAGGTCTTATTTTTATATGTAAACAACCTTTGTTCACGAATACAACCTGCATCATTGCTGACGACAGGACATTCAAATTGGAAAATGTTAGAATTAAGAAAAGTAAATTCCTAAAACTGTGGAAGGGATTTTAACTGAATGCCCCTTTTGGGTTGTCAGCACAGTACCTTACCCACTGGAGCACGCTATGAAAGTGAGCGAAGAGGCCCATTATTTATTAACTTTTAATTATGGACTGGGTGAAACTTGGCAGAGCAAATTTGTTTTTCCAGTCAACAGTTTATAGGTATTTTGTTTCATAACTTTGGTTGCAATCTCCACAACCTAGCAACACTCCTCCACTTCCTGTTTGCATTCCTCCTGCCTTCCTGCTCCTTCTCGCCTTTGAAGCTTTGTTTTGGGATGATGCCGCCCTTTTTAGTCTCATATGTTGATTGTTGTGGTGAGTGTATTCCTCCCTGGTGTCAGCGTTCCTTTAATTGGCCTGTTTGGCTGAACATTGGTCTACAGGGGTATGTTCACATCTGGCTTTGATGATGGTCTAAGAGCCATGGCCTTGAGTGTTCTACTAGTTTATCAGATGAGTACGTTTGGTTCTTTTTAAAAATCTTGGGGTAGTTCCATAGCCAGTCCCCCTCCCCCCCCAGTACCTAGCATCATCTCTCATTCCAGTCAGGATAGGAGGCCATCACACGGGGGTCCTTCAGATGAGAACATCTGCCAGCTGGTCACTACGTGGTAGATGCTCTGTGTCCTTTATTTTATCCTGTCCTCACAACGTGAGTGGGTACTGACACCCCATTTTAGAGACTAGGAAGCTAAGTTCAAATCAGTCTCATCGGAAGGTTTTCTCTTCTGCGTTGTCCCTCCGCCCTCCCAAGCATGGCGTCGCTCTCCAAGGACTGGTTCCACCTTGCAACATGCCCAAAGTATGTCAGACGAAGCTTCAGTATCCTTGACTTCAAGGAGCAGCCTGGCTTCACCCTCTCCAGGACAAATCTGTTCATTTTCCCAGCAGTCCGTGGTATATTCAATCCTCTCCAACACCACAGCTCGAGCAGGCATCAGTTCTCGATCATCCCTAGTCATTGTCCAGCTTTCTGATGCATAGCAAGTAATTGCAAAAACTATGGCCTGAATCAGGCGTCCTTTACTCTCCAGACTGACATCGCTGCTCTTCAGTACTTTGGAGAGGTCTCTGACAGCACACTTTCCCAATGCAATTCGTCTTTTGATTTCCTGGCTGCCGGTGCCAAGTGTTGATTGTGGAGCCAAGCAAACTAAACAGGTTAGATGGTCTTTTCATGTGTAAATCACAATGTGGTACTCCCTTTATAAAACTCTTGGTTTCCACAAGGCTCGAGGCTTCTTCTACGTGAGATAACAGAAACTTCCAGTGGTAATGTGTCAGGCTGTTAACCTTAAGGTCAGCGGTTCAAATCTACGAGCATGCCATAGAAGAACAATGGGCAGTCACCTCCCATGAAGTTTTACAGCCTCAGAATCCTGGTGGCAGGTCGCTGTGTGTTAGAATTGACTCGATGATAGTGGCTGCTTTGGTTTTGTTTTAAGGGAGGTCTATCTAGATCAAATCTAAGTTCTTTACCATTGTCTGTAAGGCCATGTGGTTTATCCTTGCCTCCCTTTCTCTCATTTCCTACTACTTTTAGAAATCCCTTACCGTGTTCTGGCCACAGTGACCTTTTTCTTTTCAAACACACCAGTGAAGCTGGTTTTTGTGTCAGGGACTCCCTCAGGCCCAGCCCTCACCCAGATCCTCCTGTGGCGAGTTCCCCATCACTCAGGCCTCAGCTTCAATGTCTCTCAAAAGCTTGCCTTTCAAGAAAAGCCCTGCTCCGTCTTGGGTTGGTTTTCTTGTAGCCTCTTTCCTCCCCGGTCTGGCAGGCAGGAGCCTGTTTTGCTCTTTGGGACCTTCCTCCTCAGAGTCTAGTGCAGCTCTGGAACATTCGTCAGTGCATGAAATGAGTGAGAGGAGCGCTGTGGGCCCCAGGGCACAACAGGGAACCAGTGAAGCCCTAGGAGAATTGAAGGCATCTCCATTTTCAGAGTGCTCCCAAGCAGAGAAGGAAGGAGCCTTGTGAGGAGAGCCGGAGGGAAGAAAGCGAGAGGGGAGGGTTACGGTTTACCAGATGGAGATGAGTAGTAGAGAAATTGCAAAGTGCTCATCAGAGTCGAGATTTGGCCTTCATTTGGGTGGGAGAAGTGTGCTGGAGAAGCCCATCTACTCTAGACCAACAGCCAGAGACCTAGAGATACAGGGGACCGAGGGCTGTTGGGCACTGACCTCCAGAGCGAGCCTGGATGACTCTCGAAAAAGCGTCATTGGGAGGCTTGTCCTTTTGCCTCCAAGTTATTGATACTTTTAGTCACTTGTTCATTTGTATGTTTGTGGTTTGAGTGAAAGTTTACATTGAGTTGCTCACCCAGGGTTGGTGGTTTGAACTCACCAGCTGCTATGTAGGAGAAGGATGAATCTGTCTGCTCCTGGAGAGGTCGACAGGCTTTCAAAAGCCCTGGGCACTTCTGCTTTGTCCTAGGGGGCTGCGGTCACTCAGCCTTGACTGGACTGCACTGAGTTTTGAGTGTTAGGACTTATAGGTGACAGACACAGAGGTCGGACAATAGGCTGCTCACCAAAAGGTAGTTCACCTGTTTGTTCAGACCAGGTGGCTGCTTCATGGGAAGAAGGTCGTCTAGAGATTGACAGCCAGGGGGCATTTCTGCTCTCCTAAGGGGTCACGGGAAGTGGCGGAGCACTTATTGCAGGGTTTTCATCAGTCTGTGTACATTTTGTTTCTTAACATTCGTGGCAGTCCCCTCAGGATGAAAACATCTGCCTGCTTCCCCCCTGGGTTCCTCTTGTCCAGCTATCCGTTTCCCCTGCCCCTTCCTGCCTCCGAGCATTGGGACGGTTGCTCGCCTTCTGGTCCAGTGGTTAATTGTTCTGTGGAGCCCGTTCCCCAAGTGGGCTGCTGTTCACTTCAGAGGCTTGTCTGCTGTTTGGCTGGAGGTGATTAAATTGGTCTTTTGGTGCCGGAAATGCTTTTGAGGCCTGGCTCCCTGAAGATTTATTTCTTTGAGAAGCTCTGGTCTGCTCCTTTTAGACACTGTGAGTCTGAAAGGTGCGATTGGGCAGGAATTTTTTTGGAGGCAGAAGCTCCAGGGATTAAAAGGATGTTTCTAGTGAGGGTTTTAGCTCCTGATGGGGCTCCTGTGCTGGCCTGGCTGCCCCCTGCCAACCCCTTGCCGCCCCCTCTCCAGGCCATCCCTGGCTGTCCTCCAGCCGTCCCCTTGCCCCCCTCATCCCGGCCCTGGAGCCTGCACACGGCTCTCCTCTCTTGCAGGCTCTTGCTTCAGCTCATCCAGTCCCAGCAAAGCTCATTTGCTTTGGAGAGGAACTTAAGGACTCAGCAGGAAATTGAAGAGAAAATGAAAGGGTTCCGCTTCAAAGAAGACACTTTGCTGTTGATTTCTGAGGTGAGTGCATCCCCTAGGGTGTGTGTGAAACGAGGCATCATAGATGTTCTTCCTGGCTCAAATGGTTTTTTAAAAAAACACAGCCAAGTTCCTCCTCTGTGTGTCTTTTGATCACTAACACTCCCCAAAAGCGGCCCCTTCATCCTGGTTCTCCAGAGGCAGCTGGGAGGCAGGGCCGCCTGTCATGGACTTGGACTTGTCCGTGCCTGCCTGCTGGAGCCTGGCTGCTGGAGCGTGTAGGTGCCAGCAGTGGTTGGTTTGGGGGCTGTATATGTGGATGACTGGGTGCCCGTGTGCAGCACTTTTACACACACTCTTCATTCTCCACATAGCAGCCTGTGCACAGGGCCGAGCTGGTCTTGAGGACTGGACAGATGACAGCTTGCCCCGGGTTGAGTTTTAAGTGAAAGAACTGGATCTGAGCCCCCGTTTCCCAGCAGCAAGTTAATTTTCTTCATGCTCCACTTGTTTCTGCTTTGGCAGTTGCAGAGAAATGTCACTTAAAAATTTTTTTATTAACTTTTTAAAAATATAGGTTGAATTTTGCCAAACCCTCTCTAGCATCATGTCAATCCCGGTTCATGTCAGCCCTCCCTGCGATCTCCAAGGCTGCATCATGGAAGGAAACTGCTCATCTTCCTCCCATGGAACTGCTAGTAGATTTGAACAGTGGACCTTTTGAGTAGCAGTTCAACACATAACACATAAAGCTGTGCTGTCAACTTTCGTGAAGCTTCTGAGATGGCTGGAGTGACATTTGGAGTTTATTTCTGTTGTTCATACTTATCCAGAATCTTAGCACGTAATGAACACCTCACTGCTCTAGACTTTCCCCACCAGTGTAACTTCCCTTGTGCTTCTGAATGTCATACTGTGAACAGATGCTCACTGCACATCTGCTGTGGGTGGGTTCTTGTTTTCTTCCTAGTAAAAGCTGTTGTTTGGACCCTCCATTTGCCATGGTCAGCCTCCTGATCTCTAGTCCCCTGCCTCTAGCCAAGCACCAAGCTCACCAGCCCTTCGAGGTTCCCTTTCATTTCTCTCCATCTGTAGCACCTTGTTCAGGCTCTGTCACCTCAAGTTTGACTGTCACAGAGCCTCCTGGCTTGGCTTGTTTCTTTCTGCTCAGTTTCTTACTCCCCTCAAACCTGGCTGAACATTGCTGCTGGGACCTGCCCAAATGTGGCTGCTGGGTTGATTTCAGAACGTTGCTCTGATCTTATCTCCTGCTTGCTTTCAAAGTATAAAATATCACCATTACCCCTGAGTCCATGTCCAGTCTAGGCTCCAGACTGTGATGTGACCTTGTAGAGTGTCACCCAAGCTTCTTGTTGTTAGGTGCCATCATGTCGGATACTACTTGTGGGACCCTCTGGAGGGTTTTCAGAGGTTGTCAGTCGCACAGGAGGAAGTTGCCCGTATCTCTTGGACTAACTTGGGGGCTTGCTCTGCCTGCCTTTGATTGGCAGTGCAGTCCTTACCCACTTGGCGACTGGTGATTCGTAGCTCAAAGCAGACCAACCTGCCTGCCCCGTATTTGCCATATGGGTCATGGGTTTTCCTGCTTCTGCCTGTTTGCTCTTCACATCCTTCCAGACCCTGCAGAATATCCCATGTATTCCAGGGAGTGCTTCTTGAAAGGCCCATTCTAGAAACGTCTGCTTTCTCCAGACTCAGGCAGAATGGATGGTGTGAGTAGATAGATCTGTGGGCATTGAAAATACACAGGAATATTCCTCACCATTTCAACTAGGATTTGGGCTTCCTTTAGTGAGGTGCGTCATCAGCATCTCTGTCCTCTGCTGTGCTGCTCAGGGATCTGCTGGTGAGCTCTGCAGTGTCCCCTGGATGATGTGGGGCTTTAAAAGACGGTGAGTGACTCTTCCCTGGGATTATATTGTACATTTATTTTTTTTACTCTTTATTTTTACTTAACATTGTGAACTGACATCATCTTATATTCTTAAAGAAGTCTTTTTATAGTTTTTAATGTTTGGACAGTTGTTGTTATGTGTCGTTGAGTCAGAACTGACTCTTGGCTGACTCTCCCTCCAGTGGGTTTTCAGAGGCAATAAATCACACAGGAAGAGATTGCCCATCTTTCTCCTGCCGAGCAGCTCGTGGATTTGAACTGCTTTCCTTTGGAATTGCAGTGCAGCTTCTTACCACTAATCAGCCAGAATGTATTTACTTTGGTCTCCTTTGTTGAATAGTTAAATATTTAGTGCCTATTTTAATAAGGCAGGATCCTTGGTAGCACAGTGGTTAAAAACGCTTGGATCCTAACTGACATGTTGGGGGTTTGTACCCACCAGCAGCTCTGAGGGAGAAAGATGTGATGGTGGTTCAGCTTCCAAAAATGTTTACAACCTTGGAAGCTCCATGAGGCAGTTCTGTCTGCCCAGTGCGTTTGCTGTAAGTCAGAATCTGTGTGATGACACTGGATTTTTAAAGAAGTCCTTGCAAATAAATCACTATGTACATTTGTCCTTTATATGACTAGAATTAGAATCACTTGGTCAAATATATATGCATTCTGAAGATTTGAAGCACGTATTAAATTGTCAATCAGAGAGCTCGGTTTTGTTTCATACCTTCTGGCAGTTACAAGAATACTGGTTCCCTACCCTAATCCTAGATAATTGGGTGAACCTTGTGAAATGATGAGCACTGAATCTTGTGGGTGGGCTAACATGCACCTTTCCCATATTCCCACCCATCCACACAGCAAAGTCAGTTAATGGCTGGGAAAGCTCATATTGAAAGATAAACTCCACAGTTTGGATATTACTATTATTAAATATTCTCTATTTAAAATAAAAACTAATGGTAATGTACACACACACACACACACATATGTACAT